GTTAAGTTTCTTTCCTACACACAAAGCAATACATTCTAACAGATTCGCTGGCGTAAACATATCAGTAAATCTATATTATATATCATACATTAATATTTTTTTTATTTATTTAAATAAAGTATTATAATTAATGCCCGATATTGCTAAAAAAAAAGGGTGCGTGTACTTATGTACGCGCGTAAGAAGTTATACTTCTTTGGCATTATTAAAAATAGTTTTTGATTGCATGCAAATAAAAGGAGTCATTATAGTCAAAAAAGTTCAGTTTACATTTGAAAAATTAAATAAATAATTATTTATTATTATTCTCTTACATTAAGTGTAACATAAATTCTATTTAGTTAAAAGTATATATAATTATATATTTAGAACATCTCTACCAAACACTAAGAAGTATGTTGTAGCTTTGGCAGTATTGCACAATATAAAATTAATAAATTTCTTTGAAAAATTAATCAAAACTCCTTTATTTGTTTAAAAGGTAAATGACAAATGTCATTATGGTCATTCAAAATTCTTGGCATACGAACTTCACGCATATTCTATTTCTTTTTACTTGTAGATTGTCTTATTCCTATCTCGCTCGCGCACGCTATAATCACACTCCCAATTTTGTGTCACAGGTGCGCGCGCATCGTAAAATTTCACTCTCATAAATTTTTCATAACGCGCCTAAAGAAGTATAACTTCAAAAATACATGTAACTCAGTCACATGCTCCTGAAGTTTAGTTCACTTTATCAGGAGCCTGGAGTACGCGTTGTTAACCTGTTTGTGGCAATAAATAAAAATTGCTATAACTAAAACAAATAATGCTGCCAATTTATGTTCAAGGCGTCGCGGTCGTTCTTTGTATGTGGTTCATCATAAATTAATTTAATCTTTAATTATTTAATTTTGTATTTATTTAAATTATTATAATTAAGTCTCGATATTGCTACACAAAACACAGTCACACAGTGGCTAGTCAAAAGCTCCTGAAATACAGTGATCACTGGTATTTGTATTTCGTATGTATTTGTATTTCAAGCCGTCGTTCTTTTTATGTGGTTAGATAATTTCTATCAAATCAATATTTTAATGTACAGCAAGAATTAATAATGATTGGCGTGTCGTATATTTCTATTGGATTTTTTGTTAGTGTAGTGCATAACGCATAAACTCGTATTGTATTGTGTAATGCTACATAACAATCTGGTCTTTGTTATTTTTCAATAAAATTTAACCGATAAATTTCTACTCTAATTACTGACTTAAATTATTTCAAACGGACAAGGCAGGGCAATTTTAACTAAAGAGACGAAGGAGTATTTCGTCTTTATCTCTCACATTGTGTTACGTTGTGATGAAAAGAGACAAATGAGTGGTAATAAGCTACGCAATAATATTGTTTTTTTTATAAATAGGAGGATAGTTATAGTAGCATTGATGCTCGTAGAAAGGAAGATGATTTGGAAATTGCTACACAAACTTTTTAATTTAGCTTGATCTATTGACTGAAAGAAAAATCTACCTCAGATCTTTAGTATAAGGATACATTGCGTAATATTTTATAAAGCGAACTTATAAATCAATAAAAACTTAGTTTATTGCGTAATGCCAATACTATAAAACTATCTAAGCCATACTTTAGATTTTTTTAAATAGCGTATTAACCGATATTTAAAATTATTGGAATTAAAGGTTATAAACTTATAAACAAGTAACATTTGTATGGGATATTTGTTCGTAAGTTTTAGGATTTCGAATGATGTATTTTACAATGAGTCATTTTAATTCAATTTTTTAAGAACGATATTCATTTTTAAAAATAAAAGCTCATTTCAATTAAATAATAATTTTTAATTGTGCTACAAGCCCCCGCGAAAGATAAGGAACTTATTAAAGAAATGCGGGGAATGTAAGTCTTGGTTCGCGAGTCGCAATGGACCCCTAGCCACTAACACTCGACTTCATCTAGCTTAGGAAGACATTGTAAAAAAAGTGATTTATATAGTCCTACTTGCAAGAATAAACTATTTCATTTCATTTCACTAAAATACAACAGCCCTATCTAAGCTTCCCTTACACCACTCCATATCAAGAGCTGATAAAAGATCTTGTGCTTTACAAAATTATATTGTCTAGATAATTGTTTCGTGAGAAAACGAATCCTAAACATCGCGCAGAAAAAAGGCACTAAGTCGATTATTAGCTTCATTCGTTATTATAAATATAATTTATCAGTGAAACTTTTTGTGGATATGTCCAATGTGTTTATTTTATGTTTTACTTTTATTTTATTTACTGTGTAGAGATGTATCTATTTGTTTCCTTAATAAATAAATAAATTATAAATTATGACTCAAATACACTCTAAATTATACTGACGTCAAATACTATGGCCTATGACGTGTGTGAAATCATATGGAAGTTGTTATTCATGACACGAGGTGCCATAATGAGTTCGAGATTGCCAAAGAGATAACGTTTTAATGTATTTCGACACCTCATTTGCTTTAAGAATGGATGAGTTCACGGTTTTCATTTCATTACATTGAATGGCCGTATCAATTTCATATTTGTACGCAAGTATATTGAAGCCGCGAGAGCAGTGTGACTCTCATACCTGAGGTCGTAGGTTCGATCCCCGGCTGTGCACCAATGGACTTTCTCTCTATGTGCGCATTTAACATGTGCTCGAACGGTGAAGGAAAACATCGTGAGGAAACTGACATGTCTTAGACCCAAAAAGTCGACGGCGTGTGTCAGGCACTGGAGGCTGATCACCTACTTGCCTATTAGATTTAAAAATGATCATGAAACAGATTCAGAAATCTGAGGCCAAGACCTAAAGAGGTTGTAGCGCCACTGATTTATTTATTTTATATTGAAGCCGCGCAGTATTTGATTAACGTGCGATTCATCCTGACACTCTCTAGTATAGTTTAGCTTAGACCCAAAAAGTCGACGGCGTGTGTTAGGTACAGAACTCATCCAATTGACGAAAGAAATAAATGATAACAAAACAGTTTCAGAAATCTGAGGCTAAGACCAAAGGCTTGCGTTACTGGTCTGGATGTAAGTTTCACGAATATTTTTTTTACAATTTATAGTGGAATTACTCCAAATTCTATATCGCGTTTATTTGATAAGCGTTATCACAAATGAAATTAGGTCTTGTAGAATAGTGATAAAATATACAGATATCTCAAATCCTATGACACTTTATGGGTTGTCAATATTTATTATAGTACTTGAGTAGAATAGTTTTTTTATATGTCGAATTTGTTTGTTGATATGTTGGCTGTTTATAAAAAAAACATTATTTTAGTGGACGTACCGATTAGTATATTTATTCATTGCTTATTTATTTACTTATAACTATACAACTACCTTAAGTGCCAATGCGATAGTTGTGTAACTTAATTTCAATATTTACCAAAGTCGAACACAAATTTTGAAACAAATATGGTACAACGTAATACACATTGCAGTTGAAATCTGAGGTTATTCACAGGATAATAGCAATTTATTTCCAAGAACCTCCCGTGCATTACAAATAATAGTAATTACTCATAGATTACTGAACTTAATGTAGTCATTCAAATGTAAAAGGAGGTTGTGGTAAAATATTAGGTGTAATTGTTCATACGAAAACAGTAATTATCGTAATGTCGCACGCGCATACATGAACTATAACTAACTCGTTCAACTTTGATTACAAAATTGCATACGGTTAAAAAGTTTAAAAGCAGCCTTGTAAAAGGACCTTGAAAAAATTACGTTCTTAGTACCGTTACTTTATGTACCATTTCTAACTATAGATCAAAATGATAAGTCATTTATTGCATGCATCTTGCTGCTAAAACGTAGCTAATAGTTATAAATGCGGTCTGAAAAGTACAAGCTAAACTCACCCGTGTATCATTTTTATTTCATATAATAAAGTGAGAACTTGCGCAAATCATTTCTAATCATAAAAGTCATTCAAGTGTTCTCAACACACACTTGAACACTTGATTGTAATTGAAATATATTGACAATTTGATAATTCGCTAGAAAAATCATATCAAGAGTTATATGAAACTCCATAACGAGAAAATGACTCATGTTATGGAGTCTCTCTACATACGAAATCGATACTATCATTACTACCGAAGTGAAGAGTGGAGTATTTATTAGTTATTATGAAGGCCTGTAAAGGTCTCATGCCAATACATGCATACGTGTGCCGGTGGTTTTGCAAGCGACCAGCCGGTTGAAGCCCATCAGGTGTATACTGCACTCGACTGCAGTTGCATAAACCAATTGCAAAACTCGGAACGCGGTCACTGCCGCCGTTGAGCTAAGGGCATAGCCGCGCCCTGTCAGATTATAGTATATGTACCACAAAGAATTTTGTTTTTTTTTTGACACTATAAATAATGACATTTAACGGGAACGCTAAGTGATGGCGAACTTTGACCGTTAAGTCAAAGGCGTGTTTGGCAAGATCATATGAAAATTAACTTCTTGCGAAATCTGATTGGATTTTTTTTACTAATGTGAATGATAAACGCTTTAATTTTAATTAAACCTATTTATTTTTTAGAAATTTATGTATAATAGATTAGGAAGAGGTTGCCAAGTTCTAAGGGGTTCATCATATTAAAAGTTTTTCATTTAACATTGTAACATTTAAATTTAATGCGTAAAAGTGGAACGTATTTTATAGGCAAAACCCTAACAACTCGCTTAATTACCATCGTTTTTAGGTTACATTTTAAATACTTCCAAGTATAAATGTTGTCAAGGATACAGTGGAGTGTAGGTATCACTTCGATATGTGTAATCGCTTTTTATATAGGTTCGTCTTTCACTTAAGCCACCAAACATGTGCCATGAGTGGTGCAAAGTATTAAAGGAATGCGTATAATATTCGTATAAAAATACTGCTATGGTAGACTTACTATACTAAGCTATAAAGCTGTTTAAAATTGTGTTCTATTGTAAGTTTATAAGTTCTATCTTGTGTTTCAGCGAGTAACCACATGTGGGCCGGCATGTGGGTCCTCCGGGGCGATTGCGTCAGGTGCGATGCGACGCCTGGCTTCCAGCATGCAAAGTACAAGCACGGGCTCCTTGCCAGACTACGGTGCTCAGATTGTTGACCCCTACCGCCTCCTCGAAGACGATCTTAACGGAATATATGAAGATATACGATCGGTGAGAATATTTCTTATATTTGCTGTGTTATTTGAAGACGTTTATTATTCATAGATTTCTAATCAAAGCGAATGACAGTGACCGAACCGAAAGGTAATACATACAAAACTACATGATTAATGTTTGAGAGACATAATTTGTATAGTAATAGGTATAAGTGATTACGCAAGATATCGTATATCGTATATACTATAGAGAAACATAAGAGGTTGTTAATCAAATATAAATATGTTCAATACAAAATTAAGTATATTTTAAATGTTAAGAATAGGTCAAGCAGTGTTCACGATTATTAGAATTGTGTCAAAGTCATCACGTGTTGACACGCGAGCGGTCGAGGGTTGTGCAATTCAATTTTGTGGTGATAACTATAATATTATTAATAGGTTTTGTTCGATTTTTTAAAATATCAACTTAATTTTTAGAAATGGTTGTTCTATGTTCCAAATATAAAATTTTGTCGTAAGTATTATTTAACTACAATAATGATTATTAATATGATAAAATTTGCACAGCAACATTCGTAGACGTGCTACACTGCTACGGATAGCTACGATTATGCTAATGATGTGTTATGTGACATCGTAGCCCATACATTATGCTACATCTTGATGCAATACATCATAAATACTTGTGTCACTCCACAAATGTCTTATAAAATCAACAAGGACGACTATTGTAGTGACACGTGATTATCAATCAATTAATGCGCAATTAACATATGCAAATAGTTAGAGAATTCGAATAAGTAAATAGAATTATAAACTTGTTAAGAGCTTAGAAATGATAGCTTTGAGTAGTTCGCCTACTTTCTTGCAAAACCTGTCTCGAACTAGGCTGGTGGATGCTGCAAGTTGATTTTCTGTTTCCTAGATATCGCTTTTATTACTATCTTTAGTGATGTCGTTCTTTCAAGTTTTACTCTTGACTTTCAACGCTTTGGAACCAGTTTTTTAAAAGATGATCAGGATTTAAAGTATTATATTATTAGATATTTATATGCATTTTATATCGTTTCAGAATTTTGATAATAATATTCTGACCTCATTTATCCAACACTGACTATTCGGTAATAATTTTAATATTTTGTTGTCAATTTTATTCTACTATTAATAAGTATAATCTATATTTTGGGTCTAATCTAAATAAATGTATGCAGTTAAATTGTATATAAGACCGAACTTTATAATAAAATTATTGACAAACAAATTCTGTTTTGCTTACCTCACATTAGTTGCAAAATTTTAAGATCTCATCATTCTAAATCCTTGACTCGGATGTTCACAGGATGCTCTCTGAAATTAGTCGTATCATAAGCTGTTATTTGTATAATTATAGCCCTAATGTAGGACTATGTTAAAGAATATAAAATTGCATTCTGGGTGCCCAATCTAGTATGACCTTGGTGCAACAATGTTTCAGTATTATGATGTCAAGCGTAAAGTGCAGTGAACGAACAATGACCTTCTTTTCGAATTGCCTACCGTGACGCAAAACTTTCTTCTTAAGTCGTTATTGATACTATTATTAACCGGTTAGCTCAGTTCTAATTTGACAGTACTCGTTCTGCAGAGCAAACAGAAATGAATCTAGAATAAAGTAACAAAAACACTTTACAATGACAACTTCTGGCCGTTGACTGCTTCCATGACTTAATTGTTTACATCTTAGAATATAGTCCTGGTCCTGGGTTCAATTCCCAGCTACACATATTATTTTAAGGTAAACTTACACGTGTGCTATTTAAGAAACATCTTTAATCGAATTTCAAAGAAGAAATGACGCGACCTAAGTCAGAAAATCGTATTGCGCGTGCAGTAATTGTCGGTAGTTTAACTAATATGTTTAATAATTGATTAAGCACTGGTTTGCCGCATTTTTTATTTGATTTTATATTTCTGTTAGAATTTGATTTAAAACTCGGGCTTATTTTAATGAACACAGAGACCTGATTCCTAAATCGAATATATATCATTTAAACATAACCTAATTTAATTATGTTAACCATTACGTCGTATATAACCTTCTAAACTGATTTTCAACTCGACAAGACCACAATATTACAACGCTAATGAACACATTGCATGGCAAATAATGTTGTAATATTTTGACATTGACAAGTCATAGTCCTAATATAATATTAAGAACTAGCTATGCTCTACGGTTCCACCCGCATAAATTCGGTCGTAGCATGTTGTTCTGTAAGCCTATAGCTTTTCTCAGTGAATTTTTGTTAGACATGGTATTGCGGACTTTTTTCTAGATATTAGTGTTTTCTATTGCTAGTTTTCGCAGCGTATTTAGGAATTTTTATTGGTACTTTTCACACCTCGAGTTTAAAAAAAAAAAAAAAAAAAAAAAAAAAAAAAAAAAAAAAAAAAAAAAAAAAAAAAATTTTTTTTTTTATAAAATTTTTAAAAAAATTTTTTAAAAAAAGAAATTTTTATAAAAAAATTTTTTTTTTTTTTTTTTTTTTTTTTTTTTTTTTTTTTTTAAAAATAATTTTTTTTTTTTTTTTTTTTTTTTGGGGAAAAAAAACACTATTGTTATTTCATACAGAATCGTAACTTTTTTGACAATATTCTATAGCCTGTGTTCAGCAGGGTACGTAGGGTTCTAATTATTAAATAATTGTTTAATCTGTACTGTAGTTTTGAATGTATAAAATAAAAAAAAATTTAAAGAATAATATTTTTTTTAGCCTGTGTTCAAGTTGTAATGGTTAAATAATTGTTTAATCTGTACTGTAGTTTCGAAGACTATTCAATGCAAACAAACAATCAATTCCTCTTTATAATTTTACTATAGATAAATTCAGTGACATTGGACAATATCGTGATACCTTATATGTTTCAGCATCACCTTAATAGGAAAACGTTGGGTACAAAGTATAACTGAAATGTTTTGACAAATATTTCCTAGTTGAACAAGTGAAACTTTAAAGCTGTATATTCACGTATGTAACTTACTAATAATAAAAATTTTGTATTCATTGTGAAAATATTTTTAGTAATGTATGTACGCTTAAAAAATTAAATGACTCGATTTTCATTTACTGTCTTAAAAGGATAAGAACTGGAAAGAAACTCTTCGTCTCTCTTTTTAGTCATTCATCACTTATTTTGATGTCTACTACAAGTATTGGACCTTGCTCCACATGTAATGGATTGAATTATAATTATGAAAATTATAATAACAAAAACACTATATATACTGCTAATTTACATTATATTAAGAAATAACACATGTCCTTACATATTAAAAATAATTACACGTGGAATTGATAACCTCCTCCTTCGGATTGATGGAGGCCGCATCTGTATGAACGCGAAAAACTGAAAAACTTTTACTAAAAAAAATTCTATTGCTATCCAATAGATAATTGGTGATTAATGAGGCAGGTGTATAATTATTATTTTGTATAACAATCCATTAATATGCTTTGAAATACGTGCAAATAAACATCGTGAAGACAATGCTACTGGTCTTACGAAATTTGTCTAAGTCTAAATTAAGTGAACTAAACTGTCTTAAGAGATTGCAGTGTACAATAGAATTCACGAGGACAAACACATTAGTGATTTCCTTCGAGATTCACATTGTTTAACATCATCCATATTGTTACTACATTGCTTTAGCTGAATATTTCTCAAGTCAACGAAAGATTATGATCTTTAACAGTAACGATGACAATTATGTTATTATTAATTTTTTGGGTAAGTTTATTGTAGTTTTGACTTCTACAAAAATAGAGACTTTTTATTTAGTATTGTCTTTTAGTGACATAACTTTTATACATAGAAAAACACTTTTTTACCGGATTGAAGTTATGTATTTTTTTATATAAATTTACAATTATTTTCCATAATTTTAAATTTAACCGACGTTTCGCGTGCTTTACAGCGTGCGTGGTCACGGTGACTTTATATTTATTTAGCCTTTAATGATTATGGCTTATAATGGTAACGTTAATTTGGACAATAGATTGACTTTACGATAATATCCATTAACATTCTTATTATATAACATATTGTAACGTCAAAAGCTTCAACACGTTAACAACACAAGCTTTACACCTTACCGTGTTTAAGCTCAGTTAAAGAAAACTTTAAAAAACTCATAATTCCTAGATTTAAAGGAAAATTAGCGGTCGTTTATCTGTAAAAACAATTGAATTTTAAGTTTATAATTCATTGTATTCGTTATCAAACGAATTTAGATGCGTTGTGAAGCGGGAGATACGACTTTACGCTGAAAAGGTTTTCCTTTAGTGCACTGCTGATGCAATGCCTTTGCATATATTGTTGTATAAAATTTGTGTATGAATGGATAATAAATCGACGCCTAAATCGACGCCTAAATCGATCATAAGTCAAAGATTAAAATTATTTATATTACGTCATTGAAAACGTGATCCCAACTCGACTTTAGTTTATCTGATTCGCAGGAGTTGGAGCGCAACACAAATCAACCAGAATTAAACACCATTGCTACGTATTATTTCGACGGTCAGGGAAAAGCTCTGAGGCCGATGGTTGCCATACTTATGGCAAAAGCTGTCAACTACCATGTATATGGTGAAAACAGGTGAGATGAACTTTCTTTAGTAAAGCGTCCAAAGCTGTTGGGTTACAAGATACCAAAATTTAAAAAAAAATACAATTATTCCCCAACAGTATCGAGGTAAAGTGGTTGCCGTGTATTAAATAATAATAAAAAAAAAAATTGCCTTTAGTTGAAAACTAATAAGGATTACATTAAGTTAATATTATAATTGTATTTTATATTAGTACACGGTCTACAACAGTATAAAGGCCTCCTCCAAATTCTTCCAATAATTGTCTCTCATCTTCGCTACTATTTTCCAATCTTTCCCCGCTATGTCTTTTATTTTATCTTCTATCTAGGTTTCTGGTAGTAGATTTATTTCCTTAATCCATCGTTTCTCAAGCGGGGGGTCGGAGTGTGTTTAAAAATTATAAATACAAACATTTAAAAAAAATAAAATTGCGCGCTATGTACATATTCATATAATTAATATATAATTTTACAGTTACGTGGTCGCAAGACTGTTTTACTTAACTTTTTGGCATTTTTGTGGGTACAACATAAAACAATGGCTTAATTATTATTTCCTGTATAACAACCTGACTCCTACAAAATCATCCAAGTAGTACTAAAATTCTATGTTTCCTAATATCACGTAATATAGTTGAAAATGTCCCAAGAGCAAAAACCTTATGCAGCGCATGATTGATTACACATTGTCGAAGATTACACTTGTTTTATGCATATGTTACGTCTTTATTACTCAACTTTCATGAGCTAATGTATCTATGTGCATATGAGATATCCTTGAAAAGATATTTAAAGACATTATTGATCTTAATATATTGTTCGCACGTATATATCATTCGCATATCTTACATGTGAGGAATATTTAACATTTTATGTAAGGTGCGTGTAAAACCCGGTTGTGGGTAGAATCACTTATTAAATGTTCTAATATCAGGTATGTAATGATTATGAAATGACAAAGGAATTAAAGTGATTCGACATAATGTGCTTCAGGGCGGAGGAGATCTTATTGTTTCAATACCATTGCGCTATTTATACAATATAAGTACTACTATACTTTATACTCAAACTCTGGAGACAAACTCTGATCATGAGAACAGACATAGGGGCAAAGTTTAAAAATAAAATAAATCAGTACCGCTAGAGACTTTTTGTGTCTGGGCCTCAGATTTCAGAATCTGTTTTATGATCATTGGTCAATCTAATAGGCAAGTAGGTGATCAGCCTCTTGTCCCTGACACACGCTGGCGACTTTTTGGGTCTAAGGCAAGCCGGTTTCTTTGAGAAGTTTTCCTTCACTGTTGGAGCGAATGTTAAACGCGCACATAGAAAGAAAGTCCATTGGTGGCACAGCCGGGGTACAAAATTGAAATAACGTATTTATATGAATTATAAAAGTCATTTAAACTAACCCGGTGTCATAGAAATATCTGCAATGTTACTTATGTAATAGTAATAAAATTTCTGTCCTTAGAGATGAGAAGGCGCATATCTAAAAACTACTGTACCCGATTTGACCCGTTCAACAGTTTCCTAATATACTAATAAAAAAAATCACCTCCCGGGTAATTTCCTTGGAAGCCTTTTTTTGAAGTCGGTTTAAATGTAAAACTCGTGTCACTTCACATGATGTAAGGATCTAATGTGTAAAACTTCGGAAAAACGCGGAAATAATTAACCTACTTGCTTAGTTTTGTTTCTCTATAAAAAGTGTGAATTTTTTTGTCCTCGTTAATTTTAGTAACGGTTTTTTTGAACTTGAAATATTTCCTATATGTAATTTATTGTTAGTGATTATATAATTTTACATATAATATGTACATTATATACCTTATATGTACATTTCTAATATAATTAGCGCTTCTCCGTACTATGTATCCGAGAGTAGTGAATAGGATCCTACTGATATAAAGATGATAATGCGTTGGGAAAACACAATTACATAATGTGATTCAAGAAAAATTTCCAAGGCTATATCTGAAATGACGGATGGTTATTTTAAAATTATGTCATTTAAAATATAAGAAGCGAGAGATTTTTCCCCTCGTAAAAAAATAAAATAAATCAGTGTTACAACCTTTTCGGTCTGGGCCTCAGATTTCTGTATCTGTTTCATAATAATTTGTCAATCTAAAAGGCAATTAGGTGCTCCTGTGCCTAACACGCCTTCGACTTGTTGGGTCTAAGGCTAGCCGATTTCCTCACAATGTTTTCCTTCACCTTTTTTACGTTACGTGCGTTAAACGTTAAATGCGCACATCAAAATAATATTCATTGGTGCACAGCCGGGGATCGAACCTACTGCCTCAGGGATGAGAGTCGTACGCTGCAGCCACTAAGCCAAAACTGCTATTTTCCCCCTCGCACTCATTGATTTTTAGGTGATATTTCAATTTTCAACGGTTTTTAATTTTGATCAGATCGTAAAATCATATGTTGTTTATATTAGTGCACTGCTGCCATCTCAGCGACAGGTGGCCATGATCAGCGAGATGATCCACTCAGCCTCGTTGATCCACGATGACGTCATCGATCAGAGTGACTTCCGCCGCGGTAAACCCTCCGTCAACGTGCTCTGGAATCACAAGAAGGTTAGTCAAGATATCAATTACGTAATCACTCACAACATGCTCCGCCGCTAAGCCTTTTTTCGAACGAACAGATGATTTATTGGATGGTTAATATGCATTCAAAATAAAAATATTTAATTAAATATCAATGTACAATTATAAGGTCAGTAAAAATAATTTATGGTTCTCAAATCAAAGGCGGAGGGAGGACAGAGGAGAAAAGCTGACAATAAACTCTACGTCTCCTCTTCTAAAGCGCCAAATTTTTACTAAATGTTTGTAAGCATCTGTAATCATGCTTCAACGTATTTATAAAAAAATTCAATAGTATTTATCAGTGACAGTCATTTGTTCGTTATACAATTATTGTATATTTTTTTATAAATTGTCTTTACACAAAGACATCATTTACCATTAGCACAACTTAACACTAATAAGTAAATTAAAACTAATCTCATTTATTAAAAAATATATTTAATCTTATATCTTACTATACTGTGAAAAGCTTAAATTTATTAAAATGTATAAAAAAGAGGAACCTTCAAAAGGGGCGGCCAAATTTTTTAAAAATTTTTTTAAGCCTCGGTAAATATTTTTAAATGTTTTTAAAAAAAAAAAAGGGGATTTTTTTGGGGGGGGGTTTTTTTTTTTAAAAATATTTTTTTTTTTTTTTTTTTTTTTTTTTTAAAAGGGGGGGTTTTTTATTAGTTTTAATTAGGGGTTAGGTTTTTTTAGGGGGGTTTTTTTTTTAAACATATATTAATCTTCTCATCTTTACTGTAATGTGTAAATCTTTAACTTATTAAAATGTATATAATGCAGCCTTCACAAGGTCCAGCAATTTGTATGTCGCTCAATGCACACATCGGGAATAACCGGCCGTGACACGAATATTTTATAATTAAATAAATTTGAAATAGTTGCTATTGTAACGTCAAGGGAGATTTAATAGACACCCGTGTAACCTTCGGCACTGAATCTTCAAATTTATAATCCAATATGTATGTGAATGGAATGCTTAGGCTTCATATGTATGCGTCGTTTTGATTCAATGGATAATTAAGCCTGAGTTTTGGATATCATGTTGCTAAGACACGTTGACGCTGACATGAGCCTGTCATAACCAAGGCCCGACGGAGATGTTTTGAATCAACGATTCGATTGATTCATCAACTTAGCATGTCTCTCAATTTGGAATCTCAAGTTTATACAGTATTGATACGACGTGTAAACCAATTAGTAGCGTACTAGTATTTTTTTTAATATTTATATTTGGGTTGTCCATTTACATCCTTTGACTTCATTTGTTTCATTTTATTGTTCTCCTGTTTTGTGTTATTGCGATGTAATTAAATTTTTGTATTACCGCAAGAGTATTAAAGGTCACAAAATTTAATCGCATTATTTGCAAACAAATTGAAAAAGTAGGCCACTACCAGACCATTGAAGGCACCTGATGTTAGTCACACCGATCTCGTAGTAGCATATTTCCACGATGACTAACATGAAGGCATTACTTTCTTCACCTTTTGCGATATTTGGAGGCAGAAACGTATCCGTTTTCGCAATATTTTTGGGACACGGACATATTAAAGTCCTATAACCATATTGACATAAAAAATATTAGTTTTATAACACGTATTGTTTGCATATAGCACACATTGTTCGGGAATTTACATATACAAAGAACATGATGATTTCCAAACGGATTTAATATGTTTGATTTCACATTATAGCTATAAAATCAAGTGGCGTGGTATTTTGAATAATTGAGGAATTTGGGTCATTAAGTCACGTTCAGGTTCTCGCCCTACATAAAAAGAGAATACAATATGTGGGAAGTAGTCCGCGTACGAGCGACTCGGGCAGACGATGCCACCTTTCTCTCTCGCGTTAGACAGAGAGAGATGGCTATATTGTACGTAAACATCGGAGTGATTGTATAGACTATAGAGAAACAAGCCACCGAAAGCTGACGACCCTTGGTGAAAGTGGCTCGCGGTCATCTTGTAATTTTTCAATCGGTTTATAATTTATTACTCATTCTTTTAAGACTAGAAGACTCATTTAATTGTATTGTAATAGTATTATTTGCGTGTTTTAAGTGTTCATTAGTTTTTAATTAAGTTTTGATTGAAATCTAAAGAACAGTTATATACTAATAACAATACTTTAACTCAACAAAGCAGCATAACGTTTAATATTTTTTAAAAAGTTGATTCACGATAAGCTTGACAATGGCTACACTGTTACAATATTATCAAAGGTAAACCTATCAAAAATAAGCTATCAAAAATAAAATTAAAAATTCTTTACGAGTACGTTTACTTTATCTCCTAAATGTATTACAAACGTTGCATATTTATAACGTCTTCTGTATTTGCATTCGTTTAGTTCCTGATGTATAAACCTTTGTTTAACAAAGGCAATAACATATTTTACAGCAAATCTTCATTGTTTTAGATCACTTGTACGCATACCGTGATTGTCCTCAAGGATAAATGCTAGTATCTTCCGGCTATCGGCTTTTATCTTCTTAGTGTCGTCTCCTTTAGAAGGTCGGCGATTATCATGCCTACTTTTATTTTGGAGGCCGCTGAATGGATGAGCTTTGACCAAAGCATTGCCTAAGATTCTTTAACCGCGACGTGCGTCTGCGCCTAGGGCTTCTTATACCTGCCACTTTGCTTTGAATTATTAGTTGAAGGTGCTCGTATTTTATGGTGTTAAGTAAGATTGGCTTTAATTGGCAAATATAATTGGCCTATTGGCTAAGTTTAATTTAACATGTCCTTGAGTACCCGATATTGACTCAGTGGAATCCCATACACGTTCTAATAACCTGTATTTGTTATGTAATTTAATGTAATGTTGATTTTTCGTTTTTGTCTGAATTTACACCTACCGTTTTTAAGCAGAAGATCGCTTCGCAATGATATCGGGGTGCGTCTGTTTGTACATCATTTACGCTCACGTTACTATGCACATTGTGGAATTGTTTACTGATGTCGTAAATGTATTACGTGGTTCACATTAATGACAAATTGCTATTATTGTTTCGTATTTGAGCTTGTAGTGTATAGAATGTGGTAGTGAGGGACCTATTGAGTAGTGGTCGTTGACACTCGTTTTCCTTTTATTCTGATTTAAATATGCGCATTCTGCAAAAGCTTTGTAGATGCGACAATTGTAGTCAAGGATGCGAATAAACGTCACCAACGAATTGGCGATTCCTATCGTATGTGACCATTGTTCAGAATATGTCTCTGTACTTATTGTTTGCTGGACTCCGTGGGACAGTGTTTTAATAAGTCCGCACGCGTCTAGAATACGTAAATAGTTAAGTATGAAGTTCAAGATAAATTCTTTACAGTTTATTCCTTTTGTGTTCTATTTCCCCTGAGCGTTTACCTCATCTGTTATTTGACTGCTAATTTCAGACATCCGTAAAACAATTAATATTTGTACGAGATTAGAACCTTGTGTTGAAATATTTGATTTAATTAAATCATTTAAAGTTTGTCATCTGATACCAACTCTCGTATTCTGGTTTCAAGGCCGGTCGCCGCTCGGAGCTTTCACTCTTACATCCAATATATTGGAACCGACTTGAACTTGCTTCCTTAACCATTCACATTTTGGTTCATATTTAAAATGATCGTTAGAAAAAGTCCACAATACAATCAAATACTTTGTATTATTTTGGTTGCATATCTATAGCCTTATTTTTGAGTCCTATTTTGGCCTTGTTTCCTTCAACTTCAGCCTTATTTTCAGTAATTTCCTTGTTTATTCTTTTCATACCTCTTTATGATTCTTCTTGTCCTTTTAGTGTTTACTGTTTGTTTTAATTGCATAACGTTTGGCTTTTTAATAGTTCAGCTGTTCTGTTGTAATTCGTCGGCGACAATTCGCGAGTTAATTTCGTGTCCGGCTATTCGTGACCTGGTGTAAGAAAAAAATTATTTACCCTTTCCTGCAAAGATGCAGTAATCATTGTTAATTATGGGCCTCGACACGTTTTGATATGTCAATTTTCTTGGTAATTTTCATTGGGTGTCAGCGGACATGTCTGAATTTGATTGAGTAATGATTGTAAATATAATTCCATCTCATTCTTTGAATGGACCCTTGGATATGTATTTATGATAATTATTTTTTTTATCAATCAGTATTCATATTTTTTTATGAGTGTATTCAAATATCCTTCTCCATACTTAAGATTAGCATGTTTAGTTGTTCAAATAATTTTTATTAGCATATAGGGGAAGATTTTTTCTTTTTTTAAGGGGGGAAAAAAAAAAAAAAAAAAAAAAAAAAAAAAAAAAAAAAAAAAAAATTTTTTTTTTTTTTTTTGAAAAAAAAGAAAAAAAAAAAAAAAAAAAAAAAAAAATTTTAAAAAAAAAAAAAAAAAGGGAAAAAAAAAAAAAAAAAATTTTTTTTTTTTTGTGAAAAAAAAATATTTTTTTTTTTTTTTTTTTTTTTTTTTAAAAAAAAAAAAAAAAAATTTTTTATATATATATAAAAAAAAAAAAAAAAAAAAAAAAAAAAAAATTTTAAAAAAAAAAAATTTATTTTTTTTTTTTTTAAAAAAAAAAAAAAAATATTTTTTTTTTTTTTTTTTTTTTTTTTTTATTTAAAAAAAAAAAAAAGAAAAAATATTTATAAATATTAAAAAAAAAAAATTTTAAAAATATTTTTAATTGTATTTTTTTTTTTTTTTAAAAAAAATTTTTTTTTTTTTTTAATAATAAAAAAATTTTAATTAAAAATAATAAAATTTTTTTTTTTTTTTTTTTAAAAAAAAAATAAAAAAAAAAAAAAAAATAAAAAAAAAAAATTTTTTTTTAAATTTTTTTTTTAAATAAAATTTTTTTTTTTTTTTTTTTTTTTAAAAAAAAAAAAAAAAAAAAAAAAAAAAAAAAAAAAAAAAAAAAAAAAAAAAAAAATTTAAAAAAAAAAAAAAAAAAAAAATAAAAAAAAAAAAAAAAATAAAAAAAAAAAAAAAAAAAAAAAAAAAAAAAAAAAAAAAAAATTTTTTTAAAAAAAAAAAAAATATTTTTTTTTTTTTT